TGTCTTCCAATTCAATATGACTTATGGCTTGATGAAATAGTATCTATAATTGCTCAAGCACAAAGTCGTTTAGCAGGACAATCAATAGAGAAATTATATAAATTAATCCAAGAGGCTAGACGTATTATCGTCATGGATAATGACCTCACTGATCTTAACATTGAATGGATTAAGACCCTTCGTAAGAATATACCTTTTTCTATTATTCATAATACTTATCAGCCTCAGAAAGGCAAGATGTTCCGCTTGGCTCCTAATAAAGAAATAGTATTAGCTGAACTTTGGGATTGGGCTAAGCAGATGATTTCATTACCTTTTGAGTCTCGGAAAAGTGCTTCACTTATTTGCCATCTCAGAAAAGATGTACAAGGGATTATTCGTGCTCTTAAGACTGATTTTCCAGAACTACGAATTAAGGAATATCACGGCAAATCTGATCCAGTAGAAAAGGCTCATGATTTTAGTAATGTCGAAGAAGCATGGAAAGATATAGACCTAGTTGCCTATACTAGCACTCTAAAAATAGGAGTATCTTGCATTAATCCCAAGTTCGAACGGGGGTTCTGCATCTTTAACAGTTATATAGAAACGAATGCTGGGACGAATCAGATGTTATTTCACATGCGATGCATCAAAGACTATATATGTCATATCGAACAAAGATCGTCTAATATTCCCATTACAGAGAAAGGATTATTCCAATGGTTGTTGAATGCCAAACGAGAATGTCTTCCCCGAGAACTTCAGAATAGAGGAATTTTTCCAGATGTAGATTCTATTATCCGGAATAAAGACATGCCAACTATTCGATTGTGGGTAGCATATATGTTGGAAAAATTCCGTTCCTGGCGCTTGTTTGGTTGGAGGATGGTTGATTTTCTCCGAAAGGCAGGTATGAAAATTTCTATCATAGAATTCATTCCTAAACCTGAAGATATTACGACATCGCTATCCCAAATAGTGAAGGCAAGTTCTTCTATCGTTAAAGCAGAGGAAATAGCAGATGTTTCTAATGCTACTATTGTCGATCGTGAGACTGCTGAATTTTTAGAGAATAAATCAAAGAA